TGAAGAAGCTTCTCGGATGAGAGGTGAAACGTCTTCAAGTAACTTAAAGAAGTCCAGACGCTTTTCTTTGCAAGCTCCTTTGACCATGGTGAGTATATCCTTCTCTCATCCTCCCCCTCTTCTCACGAAGCTTCTCCTTCAACCTCAGTTCTCACCTCCTCAGCAAAGAGAAGCAGAGAAGACTTTGGAAAGGCCTTTTAACCTTTCACTTGATGACAGTGACTCTGACTAGGTAATGTTAGAACTTGTTTTTAAACTTTAAATGTTTAAGTTAAGCCTTTGTGTCTTGTGATGATTGTAACACAGCTAACTAAGAATATCTGACTTTTAAAGAATATTAACTAACACATGTGAAATGTATTGTTTTTTTCTTAATATGTGGCATTGCCTGTGTGACTGTAAGGTAGTGTTTTAGGTGTTGTTACTTCTATTTTTGTTAATATCACAGGTAACTGTTAAAATGTCTAACATGTTTTTTCTCAAGCTCTAGCTCACCATGCAGGACAAAGGTAAGTCCGTACTTAATGTCAACACAAATGAGTAGAAAAGGTTTAAAAATGATGTCGTGAACTGACTGTAGTCTCTTGTTTTTACATAAGATATAGCCTGTGGCTCAGGGATCAGAGGTAAGGTAAAAACACATAACAGAAGAAAAGTAAATTGAACAAATCAGTGATCTGTGAATTCATCCTTTTGTCTCTGTCTTTTTGTCTTCAGGTGCTTTACACTTGTCCTCTCCCAGCATTCCAGACGGCGCTAACACAGATAGATGCTCCACCCAGAAGACAGCCTTACCCCAACCCGATGAGATGGATGGATGAACAAATGACAGACTGGAGAGTGGTGCTGTGTTCCAGCTATGTAAGTTATCACCTCACATTGGCTACAAACTGTCTTGAAGACTAAATCCTTCCAAAAGCTGGTGTAAATCATCGTCCTACAGTACTGTAGGTTTAAGTTTATTTATAGTTATTGTGTGTATATGTTGAGTTTAAAATAGCATTTTAACAACATGCTGCAGCTACCTACTATGGAAATGCTGTTTTGTGTTAAAACTACGTCTTTCTTGTGTTATTGCTTTGCAGGGCAGCTGAGAGTGGACAGAGCTGCACAGAGGACCAAAGATCCACTCTCAGCACTTCATACTTGACTGGCCACAGCACCGCCCCTCTTCACCCAGGGTGAGGAGGGTCCTGACCCTGCCTGCACAGAGGGAGTTGTGAACATGCACTTCTGTGTCGGTGGGTTTAGGA